TTTTCTCGGGGTGTGGCTTCGTTTCGCCCGAATGTGGGGGTGTACGTGTGCGAAGAAACCCACGCACTTTGCTGGGCTTTGGATGTTATGCTGCATGAATTCCTCGCGTGTTTCAGCCGCATCTCTATTTCGTGTGAATTCCTCTTTCGCATGTTTCGGTGCTTCAGAGCGTTTACGTTTCGTGCGATTCTCGACATGGGTTGGTCAAATTCGCTCAGCTTTTTCCTCTCGCATTTGCTTGCTGGGTAGTGGGTTGTAAATGGGTAGTTTAGTTGGAGAAACTACCCATTAAAAGTCATTTACAAAATGATGCACTTAGATGGGTCTTCGAGCATCTCTGTTTTATGATGGTAAAACGGGTAGATATGTTGGCAAGCAAGCAAGAAAGTACCAATCATGGTCTATAGCAGGATATTTGGTAGCGAAGATGATGCTTTGGAGGATCCTTCGCACTTGGGAATGATTTCCGGAAGAGGACAAGCGAGATGAAGCCGGTGATTAAGAGATCTTCTTCTTGACTTGCTTGAATAAATCCCGACAAGAGAAAAACACCGAGAATCGAACGAGAACACAAGCGAGATTAGCTTGTTCTTACGCCGATATTCTTTTGGTGATTTGCATCTTGTAGGTTTGTTTTGAACCTTTCTCAAAGTTTGGTTTTGTGTACAATAGCAATGCTAAATTGCATCAAGCTTCTTGAATAAAAGAAAAACATTCTGGTACTTGTGCAGTTTTATAAATGCTTGCCTTGATTATGAGCCATGCTCTCCTATCTCACGAGTGATTCTCGCTTTATACTTTTGTTAACATGATGGTAGAACTTTAGGGCAAAATTTTGGAACATCCATGCCCAAAAGATGCTTTCTTTTACCATCACTAGTATGTTCAAGTCTGCTTGGTGTTCTAGAATTGGTATTCTTGGTATTTTATGTTCGATTAAGTTTGCTATGTTGGTAAATTTCTTTTGTTTTTTTGTGAAGTATTCAGTTGACAAGTGCTTGAGATCTCTTATATGGTCTCAATGTTTTTTCACCTTCAGCCTGGTTGGGAGGCTTAACAAGACCCATCAAGCCTACCCGTCATGATAAGTTTTATCACGGCTACGCCGTGATCGACGTCGTTTTTTGCGTTTCGGAGTCGTTTAGATGGGTTTTCTAGCTTTAGTTTTGAATCTTGATGACCTTAAATTTTATCCGTTAATGACATGTTGCTTGATTTGAGCAGGTGATCTATTAACATGTCAATGGAAGTAGAGAAATCCTATGATGAGATAACACCAATAATTGAATCGAATCACTAGAACATGGAGGAGGGAAGATGACTTTGAAGAGGCATCGATAAGGTATCCGGTTCTTGTCCTCGCCTAGTAAGCGAAAATCGGTAGCTTGGCTTCATTTTCGTAAAGGCAAAACCGACGCGAACGGGAAACTTGAAATGTTTTGCAATTATTGTGGGACCAAGTATTTGTACCATGTTGATAATGGCACTTCAACTATGTTGAAACATTTGAGAAAGTGCCCTAAGTATCCTCGCAATATAGATAAGAAGCAAAAATTGTTTGCATCACATACGTATGTGGGAATCAAATGATAGGGGAAATACTAGTATTGGAAGTGCTAGTTTTTAACGACATGGAAGTTTGATCGGGAGAAATGTAGGAAAATGCTAGTTCGAATGATTATAATTGATGAACAACCATTTTCGATGGCTGAGCATGTTGGATTTCGTGATTATACCAATCAATTACAGCCTCTCTTCAAGCATGTGTCGCGATTTACTTGGCTAGAGATTGTATGAAGTTGTATTTTTGTGAAAAAAGAGTTTGAAGGCTTCCTTTCATAAGCTTAATTCTAGAATCGCACTCACAACCGATACATGGAGTTCCCTTCGAATTTGAACTATTTATGTCTCACCGCACATTTTATTGATGAAAACTGGAAATTGAACAAAAGAATCATCAATTTTGTGGTGTTGCCTAGTCACAAGGGTAGAGATATTGGGAAAATGGTTGAGAAATGCATTTACGAGTGGGGAATAGAGAAAAAGTGTCAACAATCACTGTGATAATGCTAGTTCGAATGATGTTGCCATTGGTTATTTGAAAGAAAAGTTTGCAAGAGATAAACTTTTGATCTTAGATGGTGAAGTTTTACACATGAGGTGCACGGCTCATATATTAAACTTGATTGTGAGGGATGGCTTAGCCGAGGTACGCGATTCTATTGCACGTATTCGTAACGTTGTTAGGTATGTGAGAAGTTCTCCCATGAGAGCTAAAGCATTTCGAGATTGCATTGAGAAAACAAGGATCACTTATAAGGGTTCGCTTGTCTTGATGTCTCCACTAGGTGGAACTCCACTTACCTAATGTTAGACACCGCCATAAGGCTAAGAAAAGCTTTTGAAAGGATGGATGAAGAAGATATTTCTTTCTCAACTGAGCTTAGCTCCGATACTCCAACTAGTGTTGATTGGGAAAATGCCATTATTCTTTGCAAATTTTTGAAGAAGTTTTATGATGCAACCAACAAGATGTCCGGGACTTTGTATATCACTTCAAATGATTATTTTGAGGGAATAGCTTCTTTATTCAATTATCCGAAAGAAGCGGCGAAGGCTTTCGATCCTAGGGTGAGAGTTATGGGTGCGAAAATGAAAGATAAGTTTGACAAATACTATGGGAGTTTTGAGAAAGTGAATATGATGGTGTTGATTGCTTAGCATTGGATCCTAGAAAAAAATGAATTATGTGAGGTATTGTTGTAGACTCATTTATGATGATATTGCAATAGTTGATGAGATGTTTGACAAGGTGAAGTTCGCCATGGAACGTTTGTTTAAATTTTATGAGAAATCTTCTCTTGGGTCTTGTGATAAGAATTTGGGTGGTCAACTTTTGAGTTCTACTAGTGCTGGTAGTAGTTGCGATCCTTATTGCGATGAGGAAATGAAGGGGAAGATTGCGGTTTGGATTTCTACGTGCAAGAGCCATCATATGAAGCATTTCTTAATGAGGAGAAAAAGAAGTCTCGAGGGCAACTTATCCGAACTCGATCGGTATCTTAAAGCTGAACTTGAAGAGGCTCGCGATCTTGACATTTTGATGTGGTGGAGCATGACCGGTCAAAAGTTTAAAATTCTATCTTTGATGGCTCGGGATATTTTGTCCTGTCCCGTAACTCATCGTTGCTTGAGTCTACCTTCGCACATCGGTCGTGTGCTTGATGGCTTTAGAAGTTCTTTGACTCCTAGAGTCTTGGAAGCTTTGATTTGCACTCAAGATTGGTTGAGAGCGGTTATCGAGCCGATTAATATTGAAGAGTGCATCGAGAATGCGGAAAAGTTTGAGTTGGGTAAGGCCATATCTTTTCATCTTGTAATTATTTCATATATCTAATGAGTGAATGCTTTATTTAATATCTTCTTTTTATTAGATATGGATCATGTTAACGTGGAGATTAACAGTACATAGAGTTTACAAGTTGAAGCGAAAGAAATATATGTGGTGAGATTTTTCAATAATTGTTTGATTTCAATTTGTAGTTCTAATTTATAACTAATGTTGTGTGATCATCTGCATCTATACGTATTGTTATTTTGTTTTAAGGAGGTTGGAACTTGGAGTTTTAGAGCACTCAAAGCCCGAGAAGTTGTTTGCTGCTTTTATTCATGCGTAAGTTCATATTCTTCAATACAAAGTGTCCGTAAATTGTAAACACTATTATTTCGACTTGTTTCATCTATACTTATTTGTTTTCGTAATGTTGGAACTTGAAGTGAAAGAGCTCTCAAAGCTTAATAAGTTGCTTGCTCTTTTGATTCCCGAGAATAGGAAAGTTGTTGTTGTGTTTACTTGCTGACTATTGTGAACTTGTGGCAAACTCCCATGTGTGATATATAATATAAGCTACGGATGTATTTGATGTGGAGCTTGTGAAGTTGTAATGCATGCTTGTCGTAATCTTTGATTGTCAATCAATTTGATCTAGAAAGGAAAAAAGAAAGAAAGAAATAAACCCAATCATAGCTATTGTTTTTCGATTATTAAAAATTATTCACGTCACCACTGGCGGTATCACATAGGTCGACCTATGTCTACGTCAGTAATATCCGATCAAAATTAGTCGAAAGGACTGAATTAGCATAAAAAATGTTTAAAATTAAATTAATACGAATGCAATAGCATGAAAACTTTTTTGACACTTTTTCTGGTATTTATTGAATGTCTTGATATTTTTCCGAGATAACCATTCTTGCACGCTACTGGTGCATGTCACAATTCATTAAAGATAGAGCATTAATTTTTTTTTGCATTTCTTTGACCCCACTCACAGTCATCATCTCTCTCGTTCCTAGAGTTCTGTTTGATGAGCCCACGTCAAAATCCAGTGTTGAACAGGACAAAATCATCATTCGTAACGAAAATTCTTTAGTAAACTTGAATACGAGATGCAAATGCCTAAAGCAAAATTTTCCATCATTCGGTATTGATAATACAATTTGATTTTTTTTTTTTTTTTTTTAAATTTTTTTATTTTGGAGGTCTTTTATGGGGGGGGGAGGTTTGTAAGGGGACTGGGCGTGGGCAACGGGATCCCGGTCGGGATCGAGGCCAGACCTTGATGGACCCTAGCACAACCTTTGTGGACCCGAGCATGGCCTTTGTGAACCCGGGCCCAGGTGTTTGGGATCCAAGCCCACGTATCGGGATCCTGCGCTCGGCCTTTGTGGACTCGATCCAAATGGAACTCAAAACAATCAAAAAGCAGCATCACACGAACCAGGGGAGTTCAGAACAAACCAAAAAGAGCCTGAAATCCTGAGACTCTATTGGGCCTGGATCTGATGGGGCCGGACCATCGGGCCCATTCGATTTGTTAGGACCGGCGAAGGTGTTCCGGATCCAGCATGGGAAGGAAGCCCGATATCATCGAAAGATATTCTTCTCACTTCCGCTTTTTATCATCGTCGGTTTTGCTTCTCTCGGAAGCAAAAAAACATAAGCCGGAAGGTCGGTTCGGTTCGGTTCGGTTCCCTACACGGACAGAGAAAAACCAACGCGGCGAAAACCCTAACGTTGATCTTCGCACCTACGAGGCCTCGTCTTCGATTTGCTTCTCCATCCCCTCTCTCTCCGACGCGGCTTCTCTTCTGCGATTGTCTGAATTGGTAAGCCCTCTCTCTCGCTCTCTCTCTCTCTCTCTCTCTCTCTTCCTCGGAGGTTGTTGATTATGGACAAGCAAGGCAGATTTCGTGTTGGTTTTTTTCGAGGTTGTTGGTTAGGATTCCCTTCTTTGTTTTGAGGAGCTTCTTGCTGCGATCCTGCTTGGCGATGCTTGATGGCCGGAACTTGTGTTGCGTTTCGTGTTTTTGGGTAATGGGGGGGTGAGAAGTATCGTATGGGTTGGACTCGAGCATTGTGGTCGCGTTCGGTTTTAGTTGGGTAGATCTTTTCTTCTGGCTGAGCCTGCTTTGTAGTTTGAACTCGATTGGAAGCGACATTACTTTCGAAGTCTTAGATTTCGCTTCGAAACCGAACTCTGGATACCTCACACGGGAACCCAAAATCACTGTCTGAGTCGGAAAGTTTGATGCTTTACTGGTTCGACTTGATTGCTTTTTTCTGATGGGGTATCTTTTGTGTGCTTGTCTTGAGCTAAGATTGTTTTCTTTTTGTGTGCTTTCCCTGAGATGATGTTTTATATTTGGGTCCAAGCCTCGTGTCTTTAGATGATCTCTGACGGAAAAGTTGAACTTTTTTCTCAGAGATGGCAGCTAAACCTTTGATGAGCGATGCTATCGCTCTTACGGAGAAGAAAATGGACATGACTCTAGGTGTGGCTAACGACTAATCCAAACTTCATGCTTTTTGATTTTGACTTGGATGATATATGATACTTATTATGGGCAGTGTGGTTTTGCAGATGAAATTATCAAAATGTCCAAGAATCCTGCAAATAAAGCCAAGAAGTTTAGACCTTCTGTAAGTTACTTTTTTGTCCGTGCTACTATGGTGCTTTCATTCTGTTTTGTTGATTTTGTCTCTGGTCATAATTTCTTACTCTAAAAAAGCTCATGCTAGTTAGTTTGCTGTTCATGAAGTTCTTATTCCAAAATTAGAGTTCTGGTTAATTATGTCACTCTTCTTGTCGCAGCAGAATAAAAGTCAGAGAAGTTTTAGAAATGCTGCCAAAGAAAAATCCCTGAGGTATAGACACTTCATGGACACAAGATCATCTCTTAGACAGGTTGGTAGACTTTCTTTCATTACACTGTTGACTTGATTCTTCTCTGTCTTTTATTTTAATCTTCTAATTCTCTTTAATACTTTTAGAAATCTGTATGTCTCCTGATTTGATTCCGTCACATTGCCGATGCAGGGAGCTCTTGCTCGGAAAAGATCAAACTTTCAACCAAACCATTTTCCTTTGGCAACTGAAGCTGCAAGAAAGGCTGGGGTCAATCCTTTTGGTGGAAGAGCTTTTAACCGCGATAGAACGGCTATTGCAAATAGGCCAAGGTATATTTTCACGCCCATGATTTTTATGCTGTAGACTATTAAAGTGACGGTGTTGCTGATTGAAGTAAACTTGCTGCCATCCTTTATATTTAAGTTTAACACCATTTTTTATTTCCCTTTGCTGTAGGTAAAGCATGGTTTCTCTGAATAATAATCGCTCAAGTTCCATGTGCGTGGAAGTTATTATGTATGAGTTTGTCTGAATGGACACCACCTCCCCTATAAGATGGATGATGGGTTTGTCTTGGAAATGATCAGCTTGGGGCATTTGGGTGGTTTGGCTGTTTAATCTTTGTTTCCTTCCAGAATAATGCATGCAATATTGGCGTAGGTCTAGTTATTCTTGGTAGCTGCAATGTTCCGCTTTGCAGCTCGCAGCTGTACCTTCCTTAGTGAAGAGTATCCCTTTTAGTCATGGAGCCTCTCAGTCTGGGATGTGAGACAGTTCATATGACTGCTTGACTGTGTCTTACTATATTCTTGGCCTCCGATGGTAGCGGCATGTTAGTCGACAGTTGAGGGACTGCACGACTTCTAAGTAAAACTGAGGAACTCTCATTTTCTTTGATTTTGTCAAAGGGCTCATATTTGGCGTGCGTTTGTTTACGAAAGCATGCAGCTTTACAGACAAGTGAAGACTGGAGACATAATAGATCTGGTCAAGGGATTCAGCATTCATCTCATGCATTTTTTATGGGCTTCCCTTGGATCGGCGCTCATCTTTAATGACTGCAGAGACCTGTAATTTGAACTAGTGCTTATGTGTGGATTGAAACTGTTTACTTGATACTCCATGATCTTGGTGTTGAATTCGGCTAATCTATGGGGTTTTACTCTCTAGCGATCTGTGGTAACTACTTGAGCTTCAAGTATGTCTGGAGGCATTAAACTTATCGTCTGTATCAAACAGTAGCACTTTCATGCAGTGGACGAGAGGCATCTGGATCCCAAAGGGGGTGGAAGGGATATAACTGGTTTCATATGGTTTTTGTGGGAGTTTCCTCATGAATAAGCTGTGATGCATCTGAAGTGATTTCTGAAAGTTCATTTATTGATCGAAGGATGAGGAGACACATTTTAGTTTTAGCTTGCAGAAAATAGCTGAAGTAGATGCTTTTTTAGCATTTTATGCCTCATCCCTGACACAGAAAGTGCTTGATATCTAGTTTTGAGACTTTTTAGTCTGAAAATGGGGCTCGTTGGATATCTTCACATTAGAGATTCTGGCATTGGAGTTATGGAGAATAAGGGGAGACTTTTGCCCATTTTGCAATCTTAAGGCTATACTCGACAGTCTACAATTTAAAGCAAGTCAAGCAATTTGGTGTCCCTTTGAAGATATGTGCCTTTATTGGAATCATGTAATTTGGTGTGCTTTTGAGGAAATTTGAGAAAACAAACAATCCATCAGCTGCAGATGATTCTCTATCTAGGGTGATTGTCATGTTGCGGTCTGGTTTGTCCTTTCTTATCTTTGGTTGGTTTTTTTTTTTTTTTTTTTTTCCCTGATGGTAAGTACTTTAATGCTCCATTTGTCTGGAGAAGTGATGGTGGCTACTTAAGAGGAAGTGAGTAACCTTCTAGTGTTTCTCTTAAATCCGATTTTTCTCTATTCTGCAGGGCTGGAGGTGTAGTCATTCAGAAAAGGATTGCAAATGGAGCTGTAGCTGCAAAGGTACGGAACCATCTAATGCTAATATGATTTTTTTTTTAATGTATTAATGGTTTTAAGTGGTTAGTTTGATGATGTGTAGTTGAACTGCACCAGTCTTAGATATAGCTATAGAGGTAGATGTTTGATTATTAAAAATTGCTTGAGCGGTTATTAGTATACAGGGAATTATTGGTAGTCTGGCCTTTGCTCGATCAATTATAGTGTGTAGTGATAGTAGTGACACGAGCACTTTGTTTTCCGACATGGGCTTATTGATGCTACTTTACAGCCTCTCCTTTATTCTTGTTCTTTTTCGTCCATGCAAGTTTGAAGGAGGGAAGTCTTTGTAGTTCCCTTTCACTTGTATTTCACACTACAATTTTCTCGGTAAGCTTTTTTGGTTGTTTGTAAGGAATGCATAATTGCTGATTAGAACTTGGGATTTGTTGGTGTTTTTTGTAAGTCTGTCTTGCACATTTTTTTTAGCTTATTAAAGTTCCTCAAACAAATGATGACTGCAATGTTACGTGCACACCTTCACATACATCAGCTAAATTTCAATGACATGCGTCTTTGGTTTATTTGCAGCAGCAGAAAGAGAATGAAAGCAATGCAGGCGCCAAGCAGAGGCCTAAGACACTGGATTCTCTGTTTGCAGATCTGAAGGAGCAGAGGATGAAGGCTGGGCCACGCCAGATCAATACAGTGCCTCGCCAGATCAATACAGTGCCACGAAACAGGGGTGGCCACCCAATTCCCCCGTGGCATAGAGCTCGATTCAGAAACTAATTAATGCCCCAGTTAAGTTGCGGCTGGAACGAATTGTCGTTTTCCCAGAGCTTAAGAGTGGGTATATGCCCTTGGTGTGGTGCTGGTGGCTTCCTACACATCCATTTGTTGCGACCTTTTGGTACCTAGCAGTGCTCCAGTGAAAGTATAGTTTTCATCGAGTTGATTTTGTATGTGGCCGTAGTGGCCATGTCTATAAAAAGTCTTTACCTTTTTTACTCAATTTGGTTTGCTGATTGACAATGCCATCATCAACATCAATTAGGCGAGCTTGTTTTGTTTTTCTTTATGCCCAAGCGGAAATCTTTCAATATCATCAATATCTTCATGTTAGGATCTCGTGGTGGTGTTTGATGTACGGTGAGACAATCTGCTGGGTATGTTGCACGTATCATTTTCGGTAGAGGCGTCGCTCCAGACGGTCTCGTCATTGCCGACACAGAATGTCGGAAGATAAGCTGAATGAGACCATTCTCGATAGTCCCTTCAATTTCAAACCGAACGGTTCCTCTTGTTGGTGTCGCTCCAGACAGCTAAGGTGAATGTTCGTCCTTTTGGTAGACGTCGTCAACCTTAAATCTCCTGTCCTCTAGTCCATCGGATGAAGCGCCTCCTCTTGGCAAATCCGCGTGCACAGATTTTGTGTGTATTTCAAATTTTTGTAGTTTATTTGTTATAGTCGGATTGAATAACCAGGGGGATGAGTTTTGTTTGTATCTATTGGTCTCTTGGGGTTACTGATAATTGATACTTGAAGGCTAAGTGCTTTGCTTGTTTATGATTTCTTCAAAACCGAAAAGCAAACTATTTATTCCCCCACCAAAAATTTCGTAATATCATGCACAGTTTTCTTAAACTATAGAAACTATAAGTAAATTTATGGTGTCAACGTTTGCATATTAAATACAAAATTAAAATGTACCGGTTTATCCCGGGATATCGTTTTACGGGCCAAGTTCCTTTGTTTTTTTTTTTGGGTCGAAGGCTAAGTCCTTTGGAAGAGCTAGACACAAGTGGCAATAGTAAATCGTGCAAAATTATTTTTGTAAAACGGATCAAAAACAACCCAAACCTCAATCTAAACAAACCGGTGGTTTGTTCAAGGGGGACATCATAATCTTATTAGACGGATGCTTCACTCCCTTCAAATATTAAGTGGGACTTCGAAACATTCTGGGCGAAAGATACTGTCAGATTTCGATTCCTTTTCCCTTCGACCCTCGTCCAAAAGCAAAAGAGTAGAGTCCAGATTCCTTGACCTAAGTGATTTATCAAATTTTTAGAGGCGTAAAATTCATCAGGGGGGTGTAGCTCATATGGTAGAGCGCTCGCTTCGCATGCGAGAGGCACGGGGTTCGATTCCCCGCACCTCCACATTCCCTTCCTTTTCTTCATTTTTTCCCTCTATCCAAAAACAACAAACATCAACCTCTCGTTCGTTATCCTCAACCACCACCATTACACACACTCCCCATCCCACTCCCCCTCCCTCCCTCCATTCTCGCCGCCGCCGCCGTCTCCTCCTCCTCCGCCGTCTTCTTCCTGTCGTCGCTGCTGACCGAAATTCCGGAAATGACCTTGAGCTTGTGCTCGGGCTCGCCCTGCCTCTCCCGCTTCCCTCACTCCTCCTCCCTTCACCTCTCCCGATGCTGCTCCCCGACCACCAACACCGCCCTGCTATCCATACTCCTCTGCAGCAGCGGCAGCAGCCACTGCCCCGCGGCCCCGCGCCATCTCCGGGATTCCGCCGCTCCTTCTCCCCCCGCCGTTTCCCGGCGCTCCTCCTTCGAGAGCAGGGCCTCGCTGAGCGAGAGCGAGAGCAGCGTCGCCGGCGAGCCGTCCTCCTCCTCCTCCTCCTCCTCGTCGGCGGTTTTGAGCGACGAGGTGGTCGGCGAAGCGTCCGGCGCTGGGGACGCCGACGAGGCGCTGCGGATCATCGCGGAGAAGGCCGGCGGGAGGGGCGGCGTGGTCGGCGTGTCGGATTGCTGCTCGATCACGAGCGCGGCGCTTGAGCGCGGCAATGCCGGGTTGGCTCTGTCCGTGTTCTACGCCATGCGCGCGACTTTCGATCAAGGTGTGTCTTGTCATTCCATATACATGGTGTTTCCCGGTTCTGATTTCTGAACTAAGTGTTCTTCAATAATCGCAACGTGTGAAAGTGCTCAATGCTTTATCGAAATTGAACGTGAACCATTTCTTCGCTGGTTGATACTAGTGCCTTAACTTCCTCTCGTACTTAGTCGGTGCTTTCTTCTGTTCCGCGGCTTAAAGTGGGAAGAAATGTCGTTTAGATAATTTTTTGTAGGGAGGGACAATGAATATGCTTGGTTCGTAGGAGGAAGTCTAGAAATTCAACCGGAATGAGGTGGAGATAATTTGAAATGTGTGACTGTGAATCTAATGTTGATATCTTGATGATGGCCAGGTCCAGTTGAAGACGGTACTTATGTCGACCGGTGGAGATGGTCCAGGCCTGATGTGCGCTTATACACACTGTTAGTTCAGGGTCTTGCAGCATCACTAAGGGTTTCTGATGCTCTACGTGTGATTGATATCATATGCCAAGTAGGGGTTTCTCCCGGTGTGGAGGTAAAATCCCACTCTTTCTTGCTTTAAAATTTAAAATTTGTTTTGGCTGCCAATTAATCGTGCATTTGCCTTAGAAAACTTTTACTTGGATAATTGTTGGTAGTTTTCCTACCGACCCTGCACTACCTGGAATTTTTTTGCTTCTAGCAGGTCCCTTTCGGGAAGGTTGTGAGATGTCCAAGTTGTATGATAGCTGTCGCTGTTGCACAACCCCAAGATGGTATTCAAGTATGCTACCAAAGTTCAATTCTTAGTCTTGATTATGCCATTTCGTTATCGAAGATAACTTCAAGTTCTATACTTTGTTCCAAGTATTGCTTACTAAGCGTGCCTAGATGTTAAGGTAGGCGGACTCCGCCGTAGATGTGCTGCAGGGATTTAGAATCGGATGATCATTGTGATTTACGCAGTAAAAGTATACTTGCCTTTTGCCACATAGTTTGATTTTTTTCACAACTTTCTCTAGCGCTGCATAAATAGTGCAGAGTCATGGTTAGGATTAAAGTAAGCTGTGATACCTTCTCCTTTCCAAAGTTCAAAATATCGATGTATGGTGCTTTTTATGGATATGAATCCTTGGCCCTGTCGAGTTCGTGTTGCTCTTCTGTTAGTAGGGTCGACTCGGTCATCCTCCCTGAGTTTTCTTCTTTGTATTGTCGATGAATGACCAAGAGGTGGATGCAATTTTACTTGTAAGAGGCTTGTTGATGGGTTCATAGAATTCTGTGCCCTGATTGAGTCTAATAACTAACTCTGCTGATGAGCATTTTGACCTTGAGAGTCTAGTTCTATTTGCTCTTCAGCTTTATGATAGCTCATTCACATATTTATGTCAAGTATTCATCAAACATTTTATTGTGATAACATCTTATTCGGAACCTGCTGCCGCAGATTGTTTCCTGTGCCACCTGCCGTTACAAGTATGAGCTATTTTCTGGTGACATTATTAGTATTGACTCCGAAGAGATCAGGTTGTTACTTCTATCTTTCTTGCATAATTAATTGAATATGACTTAACCAAATCCTGTATTGAACTTTTTATTTCCTCGATCTCCTGGGTATTTATATATCTACTGTCACATACTATTTCCTCTTTTGATCAGCCATATGATAGCTTCTAATCATAAGCTAGATCTGGTATCATTAGTTTGAACAGCCATTGTTTCCTAGTTGATCACACATATCATTCTGTGTGGTGTTGATCCTTGGATATTCACTTCTTCTAAGGGTCTCCTCCTGCCGAACGCAGCATGGATGTTCCAGCATGGAAACGGGGGCTAAGATTTCTGAATTTAACAAAGCAACCTATCCCTGCTGCAGTTCACTCTGTTGTGGTATGTTCACATTACTATGACATAGGAGTTATGCGGTTTGTTCAATCTTGCGAGATCTATCAGATTGTATCTTCTCAGCTGTGCTGAAAGCTATCTGGCTTGTTGTCCTCCTAAATGCAATTAAATGGGGACCTTAGAATGAATTGGAAAAAATTACTATCCACTCAATTTTTATGTCTCCTCAGAAGCACTTGTGCTGATTCATCTTTTCCTCTCTTCTCTAACAAGCTGGAAGGGTTTGATCTTCCCATAAAAAAAATAAAAAAAAACAAGCTGGAAGGGTTTGATCTTCCCATTGATATAATAGCTATTAAAGGTTTTGCAGACATGGCATCAATAGCTTTATTTGAAGCTTAAATTGCGAATTTTCTTTCATTACTACTTAATAGATACTTTTGTGCATATTCAATTTGTAGGTACAGACCCCTTCTGGTGTGGCGCGCACCCACCGGTTTGCCACTGAAACAGCTACTCTTCCTGCTCAAGCAGGAGATAGAGTAACTATGGCTTTAGCAGCTCCATCCAATGTTTACCGGGAGGTGGGTCCATTTAAGTTTAGCCCAAAGGCTCCCAACTTCTACCCCAGTGAGCCCATGTGCCTCACGAACCACAAAGATGGGAGGGAATCACTACTTTTAAGAGCACCTGCAAAAGACGGAAATGCATTGTTATTCAATCCGTCTGTCCTTTTTCCACTTCTAGCTGTGCTGGCCACTGGAGATGCTGCATCTGGATTTATTGATCCCAGCTTGCCTCAGCTCCTTTCAGTTGGTGCAGTTGCATCTCTCACAGTTGGGGCTACTTTAAATGTTCTGGTTTTTCCCCAATTAAACAGAGTAAGTTTATCACATTGTTTGATGCAGTAGGTGCGAGTGGACTTTGCATATTCCGTGTAGTTTTACTTCTGAATTTCTTTTGCAGCAACATTTTCAAATTTTGCTTTTTTCTTGACATCAATAATTCTTTGCCTAGTATTTTAATTGTCAGTTCCATATAATAGAAGGTAACACTAGGGAATCCATGTTTTGTCAGATTGAATCATGAAAATAGGTACTTTTGTTATTAGATTTTAGAGTGTGCTGGATATTCTTGTGTAATGTCATCAGAGTCTAAAGTATCTTGCATGTTTGCTTTGATACCTCTGCTCACGCTCCAAATACCAGATGCTGCATTTATATATCAAAGTCAATTAACCTCTCTGTCCAGATCTGTTAGACAAGCTCAGACTTTCCCTTAAGCATTAATTACCAAGAATTCTAGTCATATGATTTCACATTTTGCTTTGAATCTGCCTTTAACATAAGCTTAGTTCTATGCATTTTTAGTCATCCATTGTGTCATTTGTCAGCTTCCGCAAAGATCAGTCGATGCAACTGCAATCAAGCAGCAACTTCTGTCTCAATATGCCGTACTCCAGTCTCGCATCAAAGAGCTGAAACAAGCTGCTGAAAAAGAGGTATAATCCTTCAATGTAGCGACCATTTTGCATTGATAAAAATGCAACTCCTCCTGCTGTTGAGACGGGAACTGGAAATGGGGGATAAACCTGTAATGTCAACTCTCCGTTTTGTTGGAAACCCCTGATTCAGGCTGCGTCGCTTCCACATTACCTGGCATTTGACCGTTAAACTTAAAATTGCTGTTTTAGCTTATCTGGGTATGGCATTCTTTTACTCTGCGAAGTCAATGAGTGATTTTACATGGAAAGATCCTCTTCACTCTCCAGTCTGAATATCCTTGAAGATTTTCTCTATTTTCGATTAACTCCATGTTTATCAGTTTTCATGTGGGCAACTAACAAGTCTTGAAAGTGTGGAGTCAATCTTATTAGATAGTAGGTTCATAGCTCTTTGGCAATTAAAGAAAGGATCATTAAGCAACGTGATCTTTTCAAATCTTGAATGAAGCGAATCTCAAGCATGAATTTCCATTGCTGCCAATTGTTTCAAACCTGGCAGTTGAATGCTGCTCCTGGAACTCTGATCATCTAACTTTCACTTTGCCATGACTTATGATAGTTCAATCGGCGACTTTAGATATTTTCTTTGCTTTTGTTTACATGAAATGACAAGATGGTGAGAAGTTTCAGAACAGTGTGCATCTATGTAGGTATGGATGTTAGCTCGCATGTGTCAACTTGAAAACAAGATTTATGCTGTTGGAGAACCTTCTTACCGGTAAACCTCTTTAAAATGGATTCTCTAGTTAGCTCATTGTCGTTTTCATGTTTCATAGTATTATTTCTCTGTTGACATGTTGAGGCAGTATTTGCTTCTTTTCTGGACATCGAATTTATAGGAATCTCCTGCCTTTTCAGGGCACGGAAAAGTCGAGTCAGAAGGGTGCGAGAAGGCCTGGAAAACTCATTGAGGGGACGGATTGAGTTAATTGAAAGTTATGCAAGAGTAGGACTTGGAAAACCTTATCGCATGAGTCTCTCACCACCTAATTTCAGCCTATATACATTCTTTAGTATCTTATTTACTGGATTTGGTTGTCAGATATCTTCAATGATTGAAATTGAGGTAGAAATGGACTTTGACGTTCTGGCAGCTGAAGCAGCAAGCAATGTGGTTTGTTTTCCTGATTTGTGATCTTTCCCAACCATCTATTATGCATGAGATAGACTAGCTAACTTATCTCTGTTTACAGGAAAGTGTTGCTGAACAAATACAGCAGATAATGGAGATAGAAAAACTTGAAGAGGCACGTTCTGATTACTCTGAATTTATTTTTTTCTCATAACAAACTGAGATGGGAAATTGACAAATAATTAGTTACGTGGATTGGTTGTAGTGATGGAAGACTTCACTTTATAGTGGAGACTATTTCTTAGACCGACACTTAAATGTCACTTATCTTCTTGCAAATTTGAAAAATGATGGTGGCTAGAAAGGAAGCAAGTGACTGCACCACATGGCAATCACGGAATTTATGTACATTAGTCTTTTCTTCTGATAAAGATGGATTTTCTTCTTTTATAATAGAACCTATTAAATGGCATTCTCTGTTGTGCAATCATATTTGCATATAAACTTATTTAATAGAATTTGCTTAACTGATTGTTAGTATTTACACATACTAAGCTCACACTCCTACAAATTTTGCAAATATGTTATGTGACTGTGTGGAGACATTATAGTAGGGTATATGAACCACTACTGTTTATGATAAAATTGAATTAGTCTTTTAACCAATGCCTTTTTCCAGTTAATCCATACACCGTGATTTTGTTTGCCTAGGTGATTCGATCTAAATGGCTGCTAGCTGACATTTCAATTGTGAACAGCATGCACATTGAAAAATGTCGATTAGTAAGTCTCTTCATTTTTCTCGCAGAAATGGAGGCTACAAGCTGAAGCAAATGATGAAGCTGAAAGACTCCTCAGTTCCCAACCCATAGCTACAGAACAGGATTAAACTATATATTACTTATTACCCAATTTTGGCATCAGATGCAGATTCTTCTACCTGCTTCATGATTTTTTGCCAGATCATTCAACGTCAGCTGGCGATCTTCTTTGCACAAGCCAAGTACACACCGTGCTGAACGGTTTTTCTTCCCATAATGATGATTACTGGTCGTAAAGTTCAGAATCTTTTACCAGTTCTGTGGGAAAAAAAGTGACATGAAAGTAGGCACTTCTTATACAAGGTAACTCCATGAGATTCGGCTCCTACTATTTCCTTTCTAGCTGTTTAAGTAACCGAGTCTGGGCTAAGGAGGCTTTGTTCTTAGAATGTTGTTACAGTCAAATTGAATCTCCTCTCTCTTCTCATCAATGCTGTTCCACAAAGAACAAAATGTTTCTGTTTGTAAAAAAAAAAGCTCCTTCTCAATTCTTTCAAAATAAATCATGGAATCGCCTTCGCAACCGTGATACTGTTGTAAGAAAAATACTATATCGGTACATGTATGATGTTTATAGTTGCCTCTCACTTAGTCACACACCAGAATAGAAGGCCTGAAAGTTTTTTGCCGAAATAGTCCTATTGCACCTAGCTAAGCATATTCTGTCCATCTCCACCAAACTAATTGTTGTTATGTTTTTTTTTGAATGCATAATTGTTGTTATGTTGACCGCTAGGTATCATCACACTCTGAACTGATGTTTAGTTGATGTGGAACAATCATTCTAGTTTTGCATTATTGGTTTTGAAAAAGATGGGGAATCTTGAGGTTTTTGTTGCCTTTCCACCTCCTTTTCCAAACTCATCTTCCTTTCACGTGGGATGCGGAGACAAGTAGGAAACGCCAAAGCAAGCGTCTTAATGTTGCTTCCTTGCTCTTGCCTTTCTTGTGAATCTCTCGAAGTGACGTGCGTCACGCCTCTTGCTGCAATTTGTTCACGCCAGGAAAACCTTTAGCCGGTGGTCTTATTTTATGTTTGTATGACTAGAGAGATTGATTGAGCCTCTCTTTTGCCGAAGAATGAAATTTCCTTTCAATACGGTGTTAACAGGAAAGCTCGGGCAAAAGTGTCAAAAAAGTCCTAAACCTTTTGCATTGGTGTCAATTTAGTCCTAAATCTTTTTTTGGTGCTAATTCAGTCCTAAACCTTTTGCATTTGTGCCAATTTAGTCCTAAATCTTTTTTTGGTGCCAATTCAATCCTAAACCTTTTGCATTTGTGCCAATTGAGTTATAAACTTTTTGCATTGGTGCCAATTGAGTCCTAAACCTTTTTTTGGTGCCACTTGAGTCATAAACCTTTATTCATTTGTGCCAATTCAATCCTAAGCTTTTTGCATTTGTGTCAATTCAGTCCTAAACCTTTTTTAGCTAAATTAACTAAAAGGACTGAATTGGCACCAATACAAAATGTTTAGGACTGAATTGGCATCAATGCAAAAGATTTAGGACTGAATTGGCACAGAAAAAAGTTTTAGGACTCAATTGATACCAATGTAAAAGGTTTAAAACTGAATTGGCACCAATACAAAACGTTTAGGACTGGATTAGTACCAAAAAAAGGTTTAGGACTCAATTGGCACCAAAAAAAGGTTTAGGACTAAATTGGCACAAATGCAAAAGGTTTAGGATTTTTTTAACACTTTTCCCGGAAAGCTCGCATCATGAAGTGGTCCATCTTTGCCAATAGATATGCGACCCTTCTGGTAAAGGGATTGGGGAGTGCGGCCGAAAGGTATCAGGTCTAAGGTTCAATCCATGTGAGCACCGTAGACCCATATACATAAAAAAGAGGAGTGAGATCATAAAAAAGAAAGAAAGTAATCCATCTTTTGTAAGACGATTGAGAATTGAAATGGAGTCTCCATCTTAGGTCTAATTTTATTTCTATTTTTGTAGTTTCGTTGTTCGAAAATAATTGAAATAACATTTCTTTTTCATGCTATGTTTTACCATTTGGATTTCAATTCTTTTCTATTTCAAAATTTTCAAAACACAGGAAAAGAAATCGCCACATATTCTTCCTATTTCACTATCAAAAGAGGCGGATATTATGTGTGCGAGAAAAAAAAAACTAATAAAGAACGAAAGGAAGGAAGTTGTGACTTGATTATTTTAGGAGATGAATTTAAGTAGTTATAGAATGAAAATGATTGTATATGGATTTAGGGACTTATGAAATAACATGAAAATTTTATATAGATGATATTAAATTGTCAATTGACTCCTGGTTTGGTGTTTCACTGTGATTCGATGTTCATTTTAATGTTGCTGACCTTTTGGCTGCCTATGAAACGTAAAAGTCCCTCTTTTGGGAAGCGTTCCTTGAGGGTATCCCGGAAAGACCACGTGACTTTCGCCTCGTCCTATCCAATGGGCAGGCATATTTAGTTGTGCTCGACCGACCATCCTCGTGATATGTACCTCATTGATTCAGACACTTTTGACCAAGCCGAGTCACAACACAAGCAACCCATTTCATGTTTCTCTCTAAGGCAAACATTACGAGGAATAAAGAGAATAGGACTCGCACGCAAAACTGGAAAATTAATTTTTCTAAAAAGTCTTAAACCTATTGCACTTTTGTCAATTCAGTCTTCAACCTTTTAACTGTGCCAATTGAGTCATAAACCTTTTAAAAATTTGTCAATATAATCCATCCGGACAATTTGGACTGGAAATCGTTGACGTGGACATTGACTATCGTATGTAGCATGACCGGGCATGAACAAATTTTATTATATTTTAATTTTTTTTTCTAATTTTGTTATTTTAAATTTCTTTTTTCTTTTTTTTTCCTCCTTCTTCCTCCGCCAGTTGCCCAGCCTCGGCAATGGCCGGCGACTGGCCAGAGGCTATGACCAGCGAGGGTGGCCCTCGCCGGCCTTAGGCAAGGTCGCCCCTCGCTTCTTTCGGACGAGGTCAAGCCTAACTCTCATTGGCATTGGACGAGGGCGACCCTTGCCCAAAACTAGCGAGGGCGACCCTCGCACGGTCGTAGCTCTGGTCGATCGCTGGCCATCGCCGAGTTTGCACGACTAGCGGAGGAAAAAGGAGAGAAAAAAAAAAGAAAGAAAAGAAAAGAAAAAAATAAATTAAAACTATTAAATATTAATAAAAAAAATTCCACATCAATGTTGGGTGTCAATCCACATCAACGATTTTTGGCTAAAATTGACCTGATGGATTACATTGACAAATTTTAAAAGGTTCATGACATAATTGAAATATTTTGGATTAAATTGGCCAAAGTGCAATAAGTTTAAGACTTTTTGAACAATTTTCCCAATCCAAAACATCTTGATCTCTATAGGGAGATTAAATACCCACGAACAAGAATCCGAGTGATGAATGACTTTCTGTTCAGAATAAAACGAAATTAAAGTTTCGGTTGTTTTGCAGAAAATAAATGATTTGGAAATTTTTTTTTCCTTAAAATCGATCACTTGCATATATATTTTTCATTCATTCATTTCTGTAACCGATACAAATGATCATTTTTTAGAAAATATTTTTTAAATTATTTATTTTTTGCGAAAACGAATGGGCCTAAAGTTCATATGATGTTATTCATCAGTAGCTATGGGTCCGGACGCACATTTACAATCGTCGTCACTTAACTGCATCTCATTAATATTTTTGTTTGGTCGAAAAGTGCATCTGATTCGCCAGCAGCGACCTTCATAACTAAAAACCCCCATCATTTGATTTCCCCACCTTTCTATGTACTTTAACTAGTCGCTTTCGAATCCTTTATAAGCATATGAAGGGTACCAAGAAAAAGAAAAAAAAATTTAAAAAGAAAAAAACAAAATCCAACAATCGAAGAACAAAAAATGAAAAATTACTCGGAACATGCATTACGTGGATCGATATCCATCGTTATCATCATCATCATCATCTTCATCTTCACCTTGACCAATTTCTGCAGAGGGAGGCACTCATTCAATCAAGACGTGCCAAGTGTGCGAGAAACTTCTGGAGGAGAAATTTGCTGTTTTCTGCTTTGTTTAGCAAGGCCACGTTGTTGCCAAATAAGAGGGCGAATAGATTAGGTCGGAATTCTGACCCAAAAAAAGAAAAGATTAGGTCGGAATATTTTCTTTTTTTATCTTGATGTGCTGTGCGGAGATAGGACCGACACCTGTGCCGCGTGGACCTTGAGAATAAAGTTGCTGCACTTTCTGAAAAGAAATATTATCCTGCTGCCAATCTTCAGAAAAAATTGCATGACCATAAATCACGTGGATTCTATTAATTTGAACCATTTATGTGGGTCGCAATCCAAATGATTTTGGTGCACACGGGTTTTTAGCGGGTGCCCGGGCGGGCGACATCTAAGCGGCCTCTCCATTCATTAGATAAAAAAGGTTGCCTAGATTTTTTGTGATTCATTGCCGAACTTATCCAAATTACTCGAACCACCACGCTCTCTAGCACGAGATTTTGAGCCTCGCGTGTCCACCGTTTCACCGCCGAGGCGTCTTGGAGGCAAAGCGCATTCCTTGAATATGATATCATGTAACACAATTTATGATCTTTCCGTGTGAACATAACCTAAATATCATTCCTATCAAATTATGATTAGTTGTAGAATGTGCACGAGTTAATGGTCTGTGATTATATATCAAGAATACTGAAATCCGCTCTGCGAGAGTATTCTAAAATTTACAATAGCACCTTAACACGATGTAGAGTGCCATTATTTTAGGTTTATGAAGATTAATCTAGCAGTTAGAAATCATATTGCGAGTCATGTCAGATAAATCAATCGTTGCTTAATAAAACCAAATTGTAACCGGTCTCTTGATTATCGGTCTCAAACAACGTTGTTGTCGAGAGCATGTAACAGAAGCCAGCCCCCCCGCCCCTGATACTTTCGCCTAGGGAGATCGCCAAAAGGGAACCCGAGCCTGAGTTCGTCAATCAATACATCGAGTTGGACCCCACCTAATGAGTTACGAGCTCTACTCAAATCTATCAATTGCTCTACGCCAAATTACACTACACCCATTCTTCGATGCAAGACTTCTCTAACGCGACTCGAGCATTCATCTCGGGCAATCGTACCTTCGTATTTCCTTTCACGAATTGATCTCACCGCCCTCAGCAGGATCTCATGGTCACGTGGTGGCGTGCTCATTTTTGCCCTGGAATTTCTCTTTCAAATCGATCCCCTGCTTTTCTCTCTCTCTCTCTCTCTTTCAACGCTCCGTCGCACAATCTGCAATTATTCTCTCATCACACAGACAGGCTCTCTATAAATGGCCGCGTCTCTCCTTGTTTCCCTCCATCGCCCTGTCTGATCAAAGCAGAAAGTTTGAATTTTTATCGGTGCCCATCCTCCTCCTCCGCCTCCTCCTCCTCCTCCTCAGCCTCGTGCTGTTCCCCGGCTCGTTATGGCGCACAGCGTCCTCGTCACCGGCGGGTGCGGCTACATTGGGAGCCACACCGTGCTCCAGCT